TAGCCTAATAATTACAAAGTAATAATATGGAATTGTCAATTTATTTTTTAAATTAATATAAACACTTATAATTATCTATTTTCTCAAAGTTTTATATGAAAAATAGAGCAAACCTATTAATTTTAGGCCTATTAATTTTATTTAAACTATGTACTATATTCACGTATTTCCGTATTGAGATCACTTACGATGCTTAAGAAAAGTTGTGGTGTAGTGAAAGGTTGGTAGGTTGAAGAAGGAATGTTAATGCTTAAGGTTGGTAACAATTCAAACACTCCAAAATATTCGCTTGTGAATAGCACAAAGGCTTTGAGAGAAGCTTACATAGAGTAACATGTGAACAACTCCCCATCTCCCTCTGATTCTTCTTTCATCTCTGTCTAATCTGTGATACTCTGAATACGCTTGGATGTGCTTCATGGAGCCATAATACGCTATGCATTCATATCAGGATGATTATTAGTTATTTTAAGTTTTTGTATTTATCTTTGCTTTGTCAATTAGCAATTTCGCGTTGGCTATTTCTCAATGAGTTTGACTAAACATAGTTTTTATGATAAAAGCGTTTTTTTTTATTTGATTTGATTTGCCAAATATCTTGAACGCTATCTAGGTAGACACAAAATGAACTGGAAAGATGAGTTTTACTTAGACGAATAGCTGAAAATTGTACATATTTTATTTTCATCATAACATTGATGTAATTTTTTTCACTTTGTAGTTTAGTTATTTTGAGTGTATGGATAATAGTAGAATGGTAAAATTAATAATAGTATTCGACAATGCATTGACATTTTTATATTATTTCAAAATTGCTTACATTGAAAAAAAATTGAAAGATTTACGCTGTTAAGGAATGATTATTTACAACGAGCTGATTATTTAATTATGTTGTATAAGATTGAATTATTTTGTGATATAAAAACAAGGGCTGCCACTAGAAATTGTAAATCTATTTTTAAACAACCTTTAATTTATACTTAGGTTAGGCAAATTGTAAAAAAACTATGCATGTTAATAATAATAATAGGTTAAATACCTTGTATACGTCCTCAATCCAAGTCGTCTTTTAAAATGACTATAGTTTCGGGGCCAACAGCCCCATTGTCAAATTTTCTGTCTTGTTAATTACTGTTTATAGCATTGGTCAAAGTTGAAGTACACATATACACATACACTGACACACGAAACATTTATATTTACACGTAACATTGAAAAATTCTACTTTTTGGCCGGCCTAAACAAAAGTGATTACTGTACATCATTGTGCGGACCGGTACACTGACTGAACGTCAGTGTACACTTAGTCAGTCAGTGTACCGGTCCGCACAATGATGTACAGTAATCACTTTTGTTTAGGCCGGCCAAAAAGTAGAATTTTTCAATGTTACGTGTAAATATAAATGTTTCGTGTGTCAGTGTATGTGTATATGTGTACTTCAACTTTGACCAATGCTATAAACAGTAATTAACAAGACAGAAAATTTGACAATGGGGCTGTTGGCCCCGAAACTATAGTCATTTTAAAAGACGACTTGGATTGAGGACGTATACAAGGTATTTAACCTATTATTATTATTATTATTCAATCCAGGAGGCAAACATGGATATATGCATGTTAATTCATTAATATAATATGCCATTTAAAGTATTATTATCATCAATGTAGTAACAGTCAAAACAAGAAAATAGACAATTTTAACTTTAAAATATGTTTAAACGATATGTGAATAAATAATAAATAAATAACTTGTAGAAATATTCACGGTTACATGGACAATAGTTATTTGTGTAACTAGTGGTGAAAGTGGCACTTTGCTGCACACGAGAGCAATGTTTACGCACGAGCCGCAGGCGAGTGCGTAATGATATCGAGTGCAGCAAAGGCCTTTTTCACTCGTGTTACACATTATATTTTTCCTACAGTCCCTATAAAGCATATAAATAATTAGTCTTTCAAACACTATACAACACTTTTTAGGTTCAGCTGGCAACACAAATGGTGCCCTAGAGAAAGTAGTACCCGCGGTCCGTATCACTCCGCTATTTTCCTCGGCAAGAAATGTGCTCCGCGTTTTGAGAATATAGTTCCGTATGTTTTAGTAATTTGAAGTGGTTTCCGCGCCTTAAAAAAATGCTTTAAAGGTATTTTCTTGTTTATTAAGATCGTAGGAATGTTTTAAAAACGTTTAAAAGAAAAGTCCAGAAAGTTCAGAAATACCGAAACGATAAACACGAAATGACAGGTTAAATCGTAGTTATAATAGTCAATCAGCTGATCATAGAATTATTATCTTTAAGTGTTGCCAACCTATTTCCAAGCGTACACGGATTACGTGCATAGTAAAACCACGCTGTTTTGTGTTGTTTGGTTGGAATCCTGATGTGCGGCAAAGTATAAACCGTACGGCAAAGTATAAACCGTACGGCAAAGTATAAATATGCAGATATTAGCAGCTTTCTGTACTATAAACAGTACAGGGAAGCCAAATTTTTCGGGTGACTGTAGGAAAAGTACATTTATAGATGCCATAGTTCTAACGTAAATTTATATCCTTCATGCTTAGATTCTATGTACTGAACACTGCACTGCTAACCCAATAACATAAACAAATAATGAAAAAAAATTGGTATATTGATCATATAAAATTGTAGTAAAAAAAACAATTAAAACGAAAACCCTGCATGAAGACGGTTATTTCACGTATTTGTATGGGGAAATGAGGGAGCTACATGCAGAATTCAAAATAAAACACAAAAAAAAACATGATTAAGTAAACAATATTAAGCCATAAGAGTATGATAAAACATATATTTGTGATAGTCTAAGTTCATCAAAAATAGATATCTCTAAAGCTGCCGTATAATCACCCATTATAAGATCAAAGGGTTTACTGTTGTTTAAATCCAAACGCCTGCTGCTAGTTTATACAGCAACAACACAAACACAAACAAAGCTGGCATCTGCAAAGGATATTGATGTATTGTAAACATGGAGCGATATGGGGAACCGATATCTAAGACCAATGCGCTTGGCCAAAGAGCATAAAGCTATTGAAACTATGGTCTATATCTCACTTGCAGACATGCAGACTTTAATATTCTCGGAAAACTTAATATTCAGGTAGTTTAGTCGTATTCATTACATAAATATATCCAACCGTTGAATTGACAACAATACTAGCATGTTTACTTTTCGGTCAGTGATGTAATTTGTTTTTTTTTATAAACCGTGTCGCTTCCAGAGCCGCTTTAGAGGTTAACTGTAAGAAAGGACCATGAGGTCCAAAGTTCGCCTCAATAAAGAAGGATTTTCATTTCTTCATTCCATTCTATGATCGCTAGCAAACTTTTAAAAAATTAATAAAAAAATATAATGGTATACATTTTTTTTATTTTTTGTGTAAAACAAAATTATATTCAACAGTAAATATTGTAAATTGTATTTGCCACAAACGGGCTTGTATTTGCTTTTCTTGAGTTGTATCAAAGCTAAACAACACTGTATCGACCGGAAGTCCAGACCACTTCCGGGGAAGCGGATTTCCGGTCCGTTTCACTGGTTTTGTTGCAAGAAAAGTCCACAATCAAAATGAGGGATTGTACTATATTGTAGTATTGTCAGCATAACAAATATCATACATTTAATATTTTTAATCTCTATATTTTATGTAAGAGATATGTAACATTTGATACACTTACAAAAGTGGAGATCTTGAGATAAAGTGTAGAAAGTGTAGATCCTACATATGTGTGCCTTTATAATGTTATTATTCACGTTATGGTCCTCAAATATGTTACATTTTTTACTGAACTTCATATAGAAGAAGACTTAGAAAAAGAGCAAGAGCTGTGGATTTTATCAAATTTTAGTTACACATTTTAAACCCTTAACCTTTTTAGCCTTTTCATTCTTTTAACGAGCTGGCAACGCGATAATGAAAGGAATTAGGAACCAATCGTTAGGACTGCGATCGGAGTACTACAAATCACCGTCATGGCTATATATTAGGTTGAAGGTACAATTCACGAAGAAGCATGATGTCGAGCTACACCAATGCACAGTTTTCGGTATATTAGGGCAGATTCGTATGTAGAAGTTGTGGATTTGCTCCTCATATGGCAGCAGTTAGATTGACATTATTGGTCCTTTGCTACCATATTTCTTAGGTAGAACTTTACAAGAGAAGCAATAGTGACTTCCAACCTCCAAAAAATGGCAAACTTTTGAATACGATCTTTTGATTGGCAAGCTGTTACTTAAATATAAACAATAAGGGTGGATTTAAGATGGATTTGGATTCCGATTTCAGACCCTTATTTATTCTTTAGGGTTTAAACTTCGTTTGTTACTACCTCCTAGGGCTGGTCATTGTATAAAAGATCCGTTTCTTCAGGATATAGAAATTTGACTATACAGTACACATATTGAAGAGCAGTAAAGGATGCAAATCTTAAAAAAACTGAATTCATTTTATTATTCTGTTAAAAAATCTAAATCATTACTTCACAACGATTTATATTAGATAAATAAGAGAATAAAATCATTATTATTACATATACGTTAAACCTATTCTTCAAACGTGCAAAACTTCGTTACCTGATTAATTTTTTTCCAGTATCTACGGTGTCATTTAGCAAAAGATAAGTTCGTTACTCTATTTACACATAACATTAATGTATAATAATATAAACATTATTGTAAAAATGAACGATAATATCCTATTCCACACCTAATTTAAAATTGCTCCCTAATTTTTAAAAAGCCCCCGGCTTCATCGTAAAACAGGACGAACAAGTCAATTCTGACAAACCAGTGACTGAACACTTTGGTCTAACAGGTTGAATATTTGAATATTTCATATCCTAAGCCAATTCCATATTCAAAGGTCCGTGATATCAAGTATTGTGACGTCACAGATCGACCATGAGCGCGGCTCAGTGGCGGGTCGTAGAACTAAAAACTTCACGCTGCGCCACCGTTAGTTGAATTTGAAGCACCGACCGGGTCGGATCTAGTGTACGCTATTTTCTCGTGGGCAATTATTGTTTTGCCATTCCCAAATATTAAGGAAAAAGTAAGGTAATTATAAGAAAATATTGTGTATAGAATTTGAGGATAGACATTTTTATTGATTGATGTTATACAAATAAGTTTTTAGATAAAAAAAATTAAACTTTTCTAAATGTTAAGCAAAATCTTAAAACCATGCTTTATTTAATTTTACGAAGAAAATAAATTACATTGTATGATTGTACTATCGATCCCGGTTTTGAGAACTTTAAATATATTAGTTTTAATTTGTCGTTGAGGCTGTTGTAGTTCTTGAGTAGGTACTGTAAGATGTTTTTGACACCTTACCTAAAAAAACACATTCATACAAAGAAAACAGTAGAAAATATTTCAATTTTTCAATGTCAATATTATTGGAATCCTTTATCCAAGTATGATTTTTACTATGTATTTTTATAATTCATATGTAAAACAGTTGCACATGTACAAAATTAATAAGCAAGCTTACATACCAGCTTATTAAGTTAGTTTTTCAATTTTATAAACATGTAAACCCGCTCTACAAATGTAGAAGCATTTTTTTTTAGTGAAATAGCTTTGAAAAAGTAAATATCATATTGACTAAAGTTTGTATATTGCCTCAGTCATTTGTATTATGTGTTAGATGTTTCCTTGTTAGCCAGATAAATAGGTGTTGTTTGTTGTTTTATTGTAGTTATACAAAATACGTTTTTGAACAATAAACAAATTAAAATTCATCACTTTGCTACAAATATTAATTGTCATCTGAATTATATTTCACATTAGACAAATGGCGTTTGGAAACCGCTTTGTTAAATTTATTAAAACATTTTTTTTTTTATATAATTAGTTAACTGCTTCCAATAACAGAGTTCTTCGATCACATTAAGCTCCCTGATAGAAATAATTAGCATAAATTAAAAAGGTTGTATCGAAAACAGGTTTTAGTAATGTGTGTTTTGTGTAATTTTAATAAAAGAGATAGAGTTGTCATAACAACAAGGTGAAATATAGTTTTGGATCAAAATTGTGGGTGGATTTACTTTCCTCGTGCGCTAAATCGGGACCCAAAAATGATTTAAGAGTGCGGACGTTGAAAGGTTTAGTTGCCATTATTAAGGCAGCAATTTTATTACTTATTCATAACTTTTTAAAGAAATTCCATTATTGTTCTGTATATTTATCAACAGGTTGATCCGTTTATATGTGAAAAAGTTTGAATACCACTAGAACTTAATTTTTAACGGTTAGTCAGTCGCGTTTTAATTATTGTTTTAAGTAAAACAAAAGAATTGGGATTTGAAAATTATTTTTAACTTTTAATCTTTTGTTTACTTGTTTCAACAAATAATAGCAAGAAACATCAAATTGATGATGAAAGTTATTATAAATAGTCCTATTAAAATGTTTAAAACTCTCACCAATGCTTTAGGATTGTCTTCGCCCCAGTTGTATGAAAAATACACAAAAAACGAAGGTGGATCAAACAATTAAGAAACCACCGAGCCTAAAGCAATTCAATTTAACTTTGTTAAATTATGATTCAGTTGGTTTAACTTTTTGGAAATCTGATGGAGTCAAAAGGTCTGGAGGGTAGATGATATTAAGAACATCTGGAGTGCATCAACCTGTTTGGAAAAAATATTAGATTTAAAAGGAGGATTTACTATGAAAACCCCTAAAGTATGAGCACCACCAAAGGCAAAGCGTAAATATACATTATAGTTTGTGGAGAACAAACTTTACTCATCAATGGTGGTAAACAAAACTTTACGAATATTCATTCGTAAATTGTGTTGCGTTTCTTTGTTAAATAAACCCTAAAATATAAGTAATTGTTTGAGCTTTTATGCTTATAAGTGTATTAACTGAAAATATAAAACTACGAGTATCTTCATTAAAAAGTATAATTTATAAACAACAATGTACTATAAATGTATATAACTATACGTAAAGTGTTTTTTTCGAAAAATCACAAAGTAACATTAATTACAGTTTTCACAATGTTTCACTAAGCCATGTAAGCATAATAACTCCCAACTAACATTTATTTTCCGAGCGTAAAGTTTTAGTTTGTAAGAAAATCCTTAAGCCGAGTCTTAATATAAACAGTCCATTATTTACTATAATAACACTTAGAGAATTACTGGACCTTTACAATACATTTGCTATAATAAGGATTACGAGAAACGATGGAAGGATAGAGGTGGTCTAGAGCAAGTATGTGATATTCCTTTTTAGTCTCATATTTATTTATTTAAGTGATTCGAAACAACATAGATAAGTAAGTTTAATAGAACCTTTTTTATTTGAAATCGTTTAACTAAATTATGACAAATTTAAATGTAAACTAAGGGTTAAGGTAAATCAATATAAATTAAATAATACCATGAGCTCTTTAAATGACATCTTTACTTATTTAATATAATAATAAGGGGAGCAAGCTGGTCTGGTCGTAGAGAGCACTTATAGAGGACTTCGATCCTCAACGTCCCGGGTTCAAATCCCGCCAAATCACTTATGTATCTTATCCAAGTAACAATGCCACATTCCCTCTGAAGTAATTTGAAAAACAATCCTGGGCTCGTGCCTAAATTAAGAACCAATAATTATATCGAACTTTTAGGTATGCTGTTTATTTATTTTATAGTATGGATAAAAGAATTATCTGCGAAAGGGTGAGAACGCGAAGAAGTCAGAATTATAAAAGCTATATGTACTATTTCCAAAATTATGTTTCCATTCATCTGTATTTTCTTCAGTGTTTCTAACTAAATTGTTTGCAATAATCAAGGTACAAAAAATAGGTACTGTAACAATAGGGACCTTTAGTGTATTTTTACTTAAATGATTCGATTTAACGCGTTGACCCAAGGTTTTGAAGATCGACAAATTAGATATTTTTAGAAGTAAATATTTTTGATCTACACGGGAGGTAAAATAACAAAAAATCTATTATTATATTTAATAGTTTACAGTAATATTTAGAAAATTCACTTTAATTATACACTGTTCACACTTTTTCATAATTTACTGGGCTAGTTGGTTAAAAGTAAAAAAGGATTTTGTTTCATAGGTAGATTCAACATTTAGATTTTTTTCTATGGTAAATGTATCATAGAAAATCAAATTCAATATTATAATCGCTAGCTGTTTTTGCAGGAGCTTTAAATCAATTATTTTAAATTAAAGGTTACCTTTATATTCCTTTGTGAAAGATAGATTAAACTTCTAGTTATTTGAAAAAAAAATCTAAACCAATATAGGTTCAAAAATATGCCAGCTGACGAGTAAATCAATGATTTATGGATGATTTAGTTTGCCCAGTGACCCATACAGCACAGCAAGCGTAGAGGTTATGGTTATAGCTTCCTATGTGTAGCAATAGCCAACCCAACCCTAGACATTGTTCATCCCCAAAGTATAATCATTAATGCATATCCCTGGCAAAGCCATTAATAATGTATCCAATGTGTGATTTGTTATCAAAGAAATAAAATCTTACATCTTCAGAGTGAGAAAAATTTTATTCAACATTGTCAATTTGATGAAGGTTAAGTACGAAATGGTTATTTGTGTAACTAGTGAGAAAAGTGAGCAATTGACTCACTCGAGAGAAATCCTTACTCACGAGCCATAGGCGAGTGAGGAATGGTTTCTCGAGTGAGGCAATTGTACTTCTAACTCGAGTTGCACATTATACTTTTCATACAGTTACCATAAAACAAATAAATTGGTGAAGAAACATAACCAATTTTTACACAGAAGTGAACTTTGAATATAACATTAATTGTGAAGTGACAAATACAACAGTACAACAGCTTACAAGCTGATTTACAGCCAGTGCTGCCAACGTATTTCGCGCGCATACGACGTTGCCTGCATGTTACGCGCTCACTATTTCGTGCATTCACGTTGCAAATCTGGAGTGAGACAAAGTAATTAGAGTGAGACAATGTTAACATTAACTCACTGATTAATGTGGCGAATTGGCCACTTTGCTTTCTCAAATCCGTGAGAGAACATGTACATTGTTAGGTAATTGTAGGAAAAGTAAATTTGATGTTTGTCAGTTACACTTAATGAGTGTGCTGAAATAAACGGAAACAAACAAAAAATTAAATATTAACTAAAAATATTTGGAAGGTCTATCGAATGAATTGCCTCAATGCAATCACAAAAGTCTCTATGAATTACTTTCAGAGCCATTAGAATCGCATTTTTTAAGCAATGGTTTCCCTAAATAGATTAACCTGAAGGCTTACAATTACATTGGATCAATATCAATCATAGCTTACACAAATTTCTATCGTGATGGATAAATTGTCATCAATAATAATTACCGAAATGGAAACACTGAAAGCAACTAATTGGCACTGCTGAATGGGCATTTCTTTTCCTTGACAAAAAGCTTTTTAATTTATTCTTAAAGGCCTCGTTAAAATAATTCCCTTTTAATTACTGTGAAACATCAAAAGAAGTTAATGATAGGGTTTATTACGGTTGCTTTATTTATCACTTTTCATCAATTTATTTTTGTTTGACATCAACAGATCAAAGATTTTGCATTACTTTAATAACAATTAATAGTTCGTATGTTGCAATTTTATTTTGTTTATATTTTCTCAATATGTTAGTGAAAATGCTTGGTCCTCATATACAAGTTTTTGATTCAAACTTAATAATATTATTTTAAAGTATTAATTGAAAAAAAAATCAGAAAAGTGATAAAATAGATGAACTAGTTATGGCCCTGATAACTCCAACCTTAATGGGAAAAGGTGCATTAATCTTCCCAATCTATTGCTTTACGATGGGGTTATAAATACGTATTAATTAATTATACAAATTACTCCCAAAGGTAGGTTATGATTCGATGAACAAGTAAAAATATATTGGTGATCTTAGAAATTAAATTATTATATAAACAAAATCAACCATTTTTTACATCGTTAATTAATTTTGTTATAAAATATTCCTCTGTAGATATGATAAAATCTCTTTTGGGAGTTTCACTTTTTAAACTCAACAGTATATTATATTTCGGT